GTCCTCATGTTTGCCAGATGGTGTGTGTGTGTGTGTGTGTGTGTGTGTGTGTGTGTGTTGGGGGGGTACTGTGTGTGTGTGTGTGTCGGGGGGGTACTGTGTGTGCCCTGGAGGGGGCGGGACAGCATGATTTGGGAATGGAGCTCACATCTTGGGAAAGAGGAAAACGGTGTGTCTCGGTCCCTCCTTTTCCTAGGCACCCCTGGCCTCCTCGTTCCCATGGCACAGACAGACAGACACACACACACATCCATCCTGGCTCTGGGTGCAGCTCCCTCCTCACCCCCAGGGGTGGCCCCCTTCAGCCCTCGGCCAGTCCTCCCACAGCCCTGCTTCCTTGGGTGGCACAGGACCAAGGGGACCCCACACTCACCAAGCCCCAGGCAGGACACACGCAGGCCCGACTTGCCCAGGTTCCTGAAAAACAACCGCTGTGTGAGTTCTCAGCGGCCAGGACCTGCCAGCCAGCTTGGGCCCCGCACCGCTCCCAGTGCCAGCCCCCCACCCCCCGCCCCCCGCTGGAGCCCTCCGTCCCAGCTAATGCTTGTTTTGAGGCCCTGAAAGCAAGAGGGACTTTCAGAGAGAGGCCTGCTGCTCTCTTGCCTCTGCAGGTAAAGGGCCAACTGTCCCCCACTCCCCCCGCCCCACAACAGGGATTAGCCACACTGTGGGACAGGCCATGCTGGTGACAATGCCGGTGACCAGGCAGGGCTGGAGAATCACCTCAGAGAGAAAATAATGGAATAGATGTGTCTTATCTCACAGGCTGAAACAAACTGATTCCAGCCTATGGCACCAGCCACGGGGCGTCCTCCTGTAACAGGTGCCTCTTTCCATGTCCTTAGTGTCATGGTTGTGATTTTGTGTATCTTTACTCCTCCCGTCTGAGGAGCTGAGCAGAAGTTAGCCCCACTTCATGGGCCACGTGGCCCAGGGACCTGTCCCTCTGCAGGAGGAAGGGGTGGGGAGATGAGTGCTCCATTGTGGGGTGCTGGTCCCTGCACTGGGCTGAGCCCCAGCCTCTGTTGTGACCCTCGAGCCAGGGCCACTCAGGATGGTGAGATCCACACCCCCCGACAGTAATATAGGCTGCCCAGGGCTCCATCACAGGCCCACTGAAGCGCCCCTCTATGGGGCACATGCCAGGGTCCCCATGAACGGGCCATGGACCATCACTGTCCTTAGGTGGTTATGGAGAGTGGCAGCACCCTGCTGAGCACTGAGATGCCCGTCCATCCTGACACAGGCTGGTTGGGAGCCTGGGGTCAGCAGCAGGCCAGGCGGCCCTCAAGCATCTTGTCACGGGGCCGGCTGAGTGGCTCAGTGGGTTAAGAGTTGGCTTAAGAGCGCGAGCTCTGAGCAACAGGGCCGCGGATTCGATTCCCACGTGGGCCAGTGACGCTGTGCCCGAGCTGAGCTGTTGCTGAGCTGCCAACAGGTGGCAGGATGGCTCAGCTGGTGTAACAAGATTGCCTGTTCGATGTTGGGCTATGCCCGCCCACAACTAAGGCTGAACTCGGCACCTTGAGCTGAGCTGCAGCCCAGATGGCTCAGTGGATAGAGCGTGCGCTCTTAACAACAAGGCTGCTGGTTCGACTCCCACATGGGATGGTGGGCTACCCCCACCCGCAACTAAGATTGAACACGGCACCTTGAGCTTAGAGGCCACGAGCTGCTGACGGGAAGCCAGATGGCGACTGGCGCCCTCCACAACTAAGACTGAAGAACAACAACTTGTCCGTTCCCCTTCCCCCAATTCCCCAACACTGTTCCCCTCCCCCAATTCCCCAATAAAATCTTTAAAAAAAAAAAGCATCCTGTCACCAATCCCCCGACAGCTCTGTGGGGCAGGCACCCTCCTTTCCCTGATACTGTGATTCCCATTTTATGGAGGAACACACTAAACCTGCCCAGGAGTGGAGGAGCTGGGGTCCACCCAGCAGCTGGCTTGGGGAGCACACCCCCGGCCACAGTGGCACACCCCCTACCCCGCATTTTCTGGTGACACTGGATGTGAGCTGCCCAGATGGTGAAGTGGATAAGTGGAAGGGCGGGGGGTCCCAGCCATAGCCGGGCTCTGGCCTTTTTGGTGTTGGACTCCACCTCCCTCCTGGGATCCCCGCTGGCAGTCCAGTCCTGGGGCCAGCCTGGGCCTTCTGGGACAGAAGGGGCGTGACACCCTTCTAGGCAGTGGGGAGTCAGATTGCTGCGAGATGCAGAAGGAGAACCCCAGCCTCCTTCCTCAAGGGCCCCCCACTTCTAACTTCAGTGGACGATGTGTCCTCAGTTCCTTTACCCGAATCCAGTCCCCTGGGAAGGTGATGTGGGGTCTGAGCCTGACCGGCCCCTCTCTGACACAGGCCCACTCTGACCCTCCGCAGCCTCAGTTTCCCTGGTTACAAGACCCCTGGACCCCACCCATACACAGGCGGTCATTGGTGGGGGGTGGGTATACTAAACTTGGAAGCAGTTTGAACACAGTTTGATGTGTCACCACCCAATTTAAGGTAGTTTGAAATTGCCCAAATTTCTTGTCAAATTTCCTATTAAAACCAGCCCAGCTGCCAGCTCGCTGTTCTTACAGGACAGATGGGGACACTCCTGCCTGAGGAGGCAATAGCAGCTGATTTCTCTTTGGAGGATGCGGGGGAGATAAGGCAGAGGCTCTGAGGCCAGAGTGCAAGTCCTGGTTCAGCCTTCCTGGCTGTGTGGCACTGGGCATGTCGCGTAAGGGCCAGTGCCCCTGTGTGCTCATCAGCAGAAAGGGCTCACCAGGGCGCCTCACTCCGGGTGGCTGTGAGGGTGATACAACACACATGCCTGGGGCACAGGACTCTGACTGCCTGCGTCTCATTTCCGAGAGAGGCAGCACAGACAGGACGGGGGCCTGTTTCCTTACAAAAAACAACAGATGAGCCACGGGCCGAGCTGAGCTCAGCTGAAAAACAGAAAAGAAAAAAGGCTTTAAATAGTACGGTGTTAAAAAGGGAACAGCAGTCTCCCCTCGTCTTTTCCCCTATAAATCGGTGAAGTAATCGTAGGGTGCCTCAGCATTGCTTATATGCTCTAACCTAGAGCAACCTCGTTTGTGACGGCTGGAAAGGCAGGCACCACCCGTCACCTATACACTCGCATCAGGCCAGGTGTATGTAGCAGTTGAGGTAATTTTCTCCACGCTACCTAGAAAGGACCTGTGACGAGAAATTAGAACACTGCTCATAAGCAGTCTGGTAACGGAGCAAAAAGGGCTGAAGGTTCTGATCAGTGGTTCTCAACTGTCCTGGGGACTAACACAGACCCCTCTGTGGACATGTGTTCAAACATGAAAACCCTCAGAACCGTTTGCGATGCCCAGGTGTTTGCAGAGCCCCAGGGCACCTGGTCTCAATAAATCCAGGTGCTGGTGTGGGGCTGAGACGGCCCCCTCTGCAAAACCTCCCCCATGTCTGACCACGGGGAAGCAATTTCCTGGCCGGGCTCTGTGGAAGGCCAGGTTTTCGAGTGTCCTGCATTTTCCCTTTCATCAGCCTGGAACCAAGTGCCAGGACGTGCTACGTGCTGAGGGGACGAGTGGATGTGGCAGGAGACAGGCGGTGACAACAGGCTCAGCCTGTGTCTATGGCTGAAGATGGGCACGGCCTCTCGCCCACCAGAGGCGGCTGTGTTTCCTTCCGAGCCAGGCAGGGACCCAGGGCGCCTGGCTGTCCAGCTGCTTCTCCCACCCACTGCCCAACGGGAATAATTTAACAAAACTAGGGCACCGTGCGATGCCGCAATTCCCCCGCGCGAGCTGATTCCCCATTAAAATGACGGTATTAGTTCTGCCATCCGCTGCCAGGCCTCGGGAGAATGAATGCGAAGGGACAGGGCGTCTCGGGGCTAAAACCTTCACAGATACGCTGCTGAGTGGGGGTGGGGCTCTCAAGAAACCACAGCCTGGTCTGGACCGCGGCTGGTGACACGCTGCCACTCGAAACTTTCAAGACGCAAAAGGCATTTCTGACAGACTTTTCTCCCCTAATTAGAACCGACACAATGATAAAATAGGTGGCCAACTCTCTAAACCCAAATAATGTTAGTCTTCATTAATTTGGCTCATGTCTCTTCAGTGGTCTGGAAAACTTAACAAGGACTTGCGGATTTCACCTTTGCCAAGGAAAGCTCTGAGGCCCATCAAGCAGCCACCAGTCACCCCCCTTGCCACCTCCCCCCGCCAAACACTGCACCTTACACTCTGGGCAATTACAGATCCTTTAAAAGTAGTTCAGGGCCTTTCACTTTGGCCATCTGGACTGAGGACAAAAATCTGATCGGGTGATGGAAAGAAACATGGCCTTGAGCTGGTTGGATGCAGGAGGGACCAGGATGCCTTCCGGTGTCTGTGGGGTGACTACCTGTCTACAGGTCTGTCCCGCTCCCAGATTCCAGGCTCCCTAAGGACCGGCCTGGGTTTCCGGGTCTTTTTCTTTGGATTGCAGCTGGCAGAGGCAGGGTCCCAAGGGTATACCTTGGGGAGCGAGACGCCCAGGCCCTGGGGCACACCTGGGGCCCCAATGCTGGCTCCTCCTTTTATTCACTGTGCTTGGCCTCCCGGCCCCCCTCTTGGTCCCTCTGGCACGAATGTGGCACCCGGCTGCTGGCCACACACCTTTAGTTCCCTTAAAGCTGACGGGCGGTGGCTGGAGGCCTCCTCCTGGCCCCAGAGAGTGCTGCTGGGAAGGGCCAGCTTCCTAAGGAGATTGGGGGGTGGTGGTGTTACAGGTTGAGATCAGACCCCCTGCAGTCTCGGCCTGCACCCTGGCTGTGGCCCTGGGACAGTCACTGTGGAGTAACCCTGGGGGGCAGGGATCCGCGAGGCAGGGACCCCCGTGCTCAGCAAGGGAGCCGAGTGGTTTGGATTCTGACATCCATGGCAGCTGCTATGAAACATCTCTCCCGGGTATGAACCCACCTGCCCGTCCCACACCCCCAGTGAAGCTCACCTGGCCCTGCCACAGGTAAGGACACACGAGGTCCTGCAGTGAGGAGGTGCTGGGGCTGGGACCTGAACCCAGGTCCTCAGACTGCAAACCCCTCCAGTCCAATAAGCATCGCTCATCATTGTCGGTCTCACCCTCACACGCCTTCAGCATGTGTCACCCATGCACGCATGCGCACACACATGCGCGCGCGCGCACACACACACGTGCACACACACATGCGCGCGCGCACACACGTGCACACACACATGCGCACACAGTCGCCCTGAGTACACACAGTCCTCAGGCTCTTTGCGATCTGCTCCTCAATGGACCTTAGGATCTCAGGAGGGAATCACATTAACAGCCACGCTTTCCATTGACACAGTGCTTGATAGGTTCAGAAATGGTCTCTTGTATGAACTCCTTCGAGGACTGACTTAAAAATCACAGTGGGGA